GATTCAGGGCACTGTCATACAGGTGGACAGGAGTGACATACATAGAGCATTTAGCTCTGAGTTTGGAAAGCAAACCACACAGGCTCCCCTTGCTGCTGCTGCTTTAATAACTGGCACTACTAAGGAGGGCGAGGCGCTTCCTCTGTGTCCTGGGTTTGGGGAGTGACCTGTCCTCCCTCACTCCCAGCCATCCCTGTTTCTTTGCAAAATAACATGTGAGAGGTCCTTGGCTTTCCTGTGTTTTACCCCAAAAGCTCTTTGCTCCTTTTGTTTTCCTTCTAGGCACCCTGAGTGCTTTCAAGAGACACCATCCTCAACACTGAGCTGCTTGGTGAGGCTGGGTCACCCATCTCCATGGTACTGGTGGGATGAGACTGCGTTGGCTTCGGGGTCAGGGTCTGTCTTCACTCTGTCTACACTTGGGCTGTGAGTCTAAACCCCTCTTCCTGCCCTCACCAAGGGCCTGCTGAGCCCCTGGACAAGCAAGAACTGGAACTTGTTTATCAATAGATTGGAACTTGCTGGCGAATTCATTCATTCAACACAACTTGTGTGTCAACAAAGTATAGCTGTGCGCGTGCTGTAGTCCAGCACTCTGGGGGCTGAGGCAGAGGCAGGAGAACTGCGAGTCAGAGCTCAGCTAGGGCAACTCAGTGAGTTAGCAAGACTCTATCTCTAAATACAGAACAAAGGCAAAAGAGGGACTGCGGTGTGCAGCTCAGCACATGGGCCCAGGGGTCCAAGCCCCAGTGCCTCAAACAAATAACAAGTAAATAAAAATTGTGTTGACTGTTGACTTTGTACCATACAGCCAGACCCTGGCAGTGTGTCCCAGGCCCCCCATCCTGGGCAGGTGTCTCCTTCTATGCTGGGTCACACAGGGAACAAAGAAGCGTGTGTGAAATGACAGGGTGAGAGGGGAGGGAGGGTGGGCATGGGGCCCGTGGGTGCAGTCAGTGGCCCGCATGGCTTTCACCAGGCAAAGCAACAAGGAAAGAGTCCAGGCTCTGCTCCTGGGTTCAGCACCGCACCTCAGAGCTGACCGCTTGGCAGGCAGCTCCACTTCCTCTCTCAGCTCTGGGAATCAGCAGGGGGCTGGCTGGCTGCTGCAATTTCCCGCCTCTCCATAGAGGCTTCTGGACACCTATAAAGTGCCTTAACTGCCCTTCCAGGTTGCCTGGGTTCAAAGAGGCGATTTCATAAGCGGGACTATAATTAGAGGTTTTATGGTTTGTTGTGTTTTGTTTTGCTCTCTGGGAACTGAAACCTCCTCCTTGTAATATTCACAACACAAGTTGCGTTCACTCTGAGCTAGGCACTGTGCACTGGTTGGATTGTTTTGCTTGATGTTTGTCAGTACCTACGAACTGGGCATTGTGTTTTGTAAGAAATGGGAAAAGCAAGCTCAAAAGGTGAGCAACTTCCCCAAGTCTCTTTATACAGCCAGTCAGACACACAGCTGGGGTTGGACAAGCCTGCTGCATGGAATGCACAGAAGAGGTAGACGAAGGGTGTGTGGGCCTGCCGGGTGTGTTAGGGTGGGGGCCTCCAGAGAGTGGCCCTGTGGTGCTGATTACACCTTGGCATCTGGAGATCAGCCCCGGGGTTTGCATGGTTTCTACCTAAGGTCAGTGTGTGGATGGGCTGTCAGGAGAGGGCCTGTATTTCCATACAAGATAAGATAGGGGAGCCCACAGAGAAGGAAGGAAGGGGTGGTTCTGTTCAGGAAAAATCAGGCTAAAAGAAGCTACACATGGCAACACACACACACACACACACACACACACACACACACACCCAGAGTAGTAAAGTGACACTGAATAATAGAGTGTGAACCCAGGGGCTGTGCTCACACCTACCTGTGAGAAAACACCAACCACCAGCAGCCACAGAGATGCCTTTGATGAAGAAAAGCTTTTCATGAGAACAGGGTGCAGCATCCAAGTGGGATTACTGCTCCTGTTGGGCCTCTCGGGAGATGAGGCAGGGTCCAAGCAGGAGTCTTCGGCTCTTTCAGATCTCTGTCTCATGCACACTGCGAGGACAGTGGGATTTTCTCAGCAAGGTGCTCCTGGTGTTCTGAGGAAGACCAGGCTCTCAGGTCACCCTCTGCCTGTGTAAGGAAGTCACGCATCAGCTGGGCAGCAACACCCCACCATCAAGGGGTTTGCATGGTTTACAGGAGCACTGTGATAGAAAATAGTTGGCAAATTCAACCTAGGAATTCAAGGTAAGGACACTTCACTTTATCGATCCATCTCCATCCATCCACCCACCCACCTATCATCCATCCACCCAGCTGTCCTCCACTAATACGCACATCATTATGGCTTCCATATCCCAAACACTCTGAAAAAAAGAAAGATGACTGGATCAGACTGTTCAGTTCTTGGTAAACAGAACGGGATGACCGGTTTCTGTTGGCAGAGTGGGGTTGTCCAAAGATTATTCCAGTCTCTGGGATAGTCTCTCCGAGGGTAGAGCAGGTATTTTCTTGGTAGCTAGGAGTACTTTTGAGAGTAGGATGCTTCTACCTTAAATTCACTAAGTGGTTTTCAGAGTTCCGTACTAAATGGTATCCTTACTAGCACCTTGTCAATGAAGTCAGCCCTTCAGGCTTCTGCAAAAATAGGCTTCAAAAAGTATTCATAGCATGATAAAATAGTAGAGAAAGAACTACTCAATGGCTAACTTTACTAGTTTCTAACCCTGGGTTATTGATTTCCCTAATGTTTCCCTAATTTCCTAAAATAATATTACTTATTTTGAACTGTCATATTTTGCAGGAAAATCATGAGGCAGCCCAGGAGGTGGTTGCTGCCCTTCCCAGCCCACTGTCAAGGGTCAGGGCCATCACAGCCTCTCCCTCCAGGGCAGCCGTGGACCCTAATACCACCCTACCCTCTTCCTGCCTTTCCATGCAAGGCTGCCCAGGAAGACATCCAGCCCCTCATGGAAGGGGTGCCACGTCTGAGGGACACAAAGCATCAAGGCAGACAGGGCTGGCAGGGTCTCCTGAGTCAGCCACTTCCCATGTGCTGCCACTCTTGGTCCTGTTGGAGTCCTGGTTGGCTGTGCTGCTTCATCCAACCTAAGCATAAGATCAGACACCTTGCCTGTACCTGCCTCTTTCTCTGAAGCCTTTAGTGTCACTAACGTGTTGGTTAAGTACGTTAGTTGGGCTTTTGTCTTGTTGAAATGTAGTATAAGATGACAGTGAATATATGGAATTCCATCACCTCTGTGTGTGTGTGTGTGTGTGTGTGTGTGTGTATGTACGCGCGCGTGCGTGTGAGGACCTGAACACAGGGTCTCATGCTAAGTACCTTCTCTGCCACCAACTGACGTTTGCAGACCTCCAGCCTTAGTTTAAAAACTGTTGGTATTTCAGAAGTCCTGACCCAAACGCACCACAATTACTCATGCGTGGAGATGAGCACCTTGCTGAGATAGCACAGAACACATTCTCTCTTCCGAGAGCACTTAGTGCCCGGAGTACACCCAATCAACCCTTGTCTACTGCATGGCCGCCAGGCGGGCGCCCTGTGGACCAGGTCAGGAGCCTTGCCATTCCGCTCTCGTCTGGGGCTTAGGAAAGGGGCCTACACGGTGGAGTTCCGCTGGATAGAAGGTTGAGTGGAAGGAGGAACCGCAGCAGGCACAACCCAGAACTGTTCACTGTAAGGGCCAAGTGACTAGGGGCTGCTATACCTAGAACCCAGGACTAGCCTGAGGAGTGCACCCTGGAGAAAGAGAGGGGATAGGCTCTACAAAGTGCAGCCTGAACTGCTTTGGTGAGGGCAGCACCCCCTGGAGTCTCTAGGGCAAGGGGGCACCGAGACAGTCCCTTGGCCGAGGGGGACAGGCACATGCCCAGAAGTGGACACCCTGTGTGGCAGAGAAGGATTACCAAACTCCTCCTATAATAAACTGCACTGGCTAAGTTTGAGAAATAGTGGAAAATCAGGCCCAGGCATTTGGACTTGACAGAACAGGAAATCACTGAAGACCTGCACCCCGCCCACCGCTTCCCTGGCAGTTATGCATGAGTCTGTCTTCACAAAGAGAAGACAAACATTATTGCAACCTAATACATGTACCGTCTAAACCCACCAAGGCCCTTTAGGCCTTTGAGATGCAAAGGATTCAGGCTCGCTTGCCTTCCTTTGTTTGTTTGTCCCCTGAAGTTATGCAGGTCCCCTACAGAGAAAGGGTTCCAGGCCACAAGGGATGGGACACAGTGAGAAATAAAGCTGGGTCTGTATCCCTGGGGATTCACAGCTCAGTGGTGGGCCAAATGTGCACACACAGGTCCTTAGAACAGGTGGTGACAGTGTCAACACGGGGTCTCCATAGTTGCTGCCTGGGGATGGATTTTTGGAGATTTGCGATCCCCCTCAAGTTTAGAGCTGTAATGGGAATAGAACACTTTTTTAAAAAATTAAAGCCACAGAGTCAAGGTCTGGACGCCCAGGGGCTGGTACAGCAAGCAAGGTCCCTCCAGGGGCGCACAACAGGGGCAGCTGCCTTTGCCCCCTGAGCTCCGGAGGCCAAGGCCAGGACCTCACCTGGAGAAGCGAAGCCCAGACTTCATCCCGCACCTCTGTGCGTCGACTTAGCACCTACTGGCTTCCTTTTTAAAATTCTCTTGCTGTTTCCTGAAGAGAGTTCCAGCCATTGGAGGTGGGGATCGGTTTCCAAAGTCAACGCGCTAGTTTAAGGTCTCCAGGCGGCAAGGGAAAGAAACCTCGCGTACTCAGGGAGCCAGAAAAGAAGCCTTGGGCGAGGCCGGGCCCTGGGAACCCTCTGAGCAAGAACAACCAGACCTTAGACCCCAAAGAAGGTCACCCGCCGGGGCGCGCAGGCTGCAGGCCGGACCGGGCCGCGCTCCCCACCCGGCGGGCGGCTAGGGGCAGAGGCGGGGAGCGAGGTTGGGGAGGGAGGGAGACAGCGCGAGGGAGGGAGGAAGAAAGGGAGGGAGGCGGCGTCATGTGATCTGCTTTCCTGCTCCTTCCAGCGTCCACAGGCGGCGGAGCGGCCACAATCACAGCTCCGGGCACTGGCGCGATCGGATCGAGCGGAGCGGCTGGCGCCCGCGTCCAGCCCCATCCTCCCCGCGCTCGCGCACCGGGAAGTTTTGTGGCGGCGCCCGGCGAGGGGCGCGGAGGCGCGGAGCGGGGCGCGCGGGAGGAGCGGAAAGAACGCCCTGGAGCTTTGGCTGCAAGAAGAAAAGGGGGGAGGTTAAAATAAAATAAAAGGAGAGGGGGCCCGCGCGCAAAAATGGCTGGGGCGATCATAGAAAACATGAGCACCAAGAAGCTGTGCGTGGTCGGCGGGATCCTGCTAGCGTTCCAGGTCGTCGCCTTCCTGGTGGGAGGCTTGATCGGTGAGTGCCGGAGCCGAAAACTTTCCCCGCTCTCTCTCGCGCTCTCCCCGGCCCCCGGCCCCTTCGCTCTGGCCTCTCCGGCGAGTTGCTACAGTATCGCTGCCTCGCTTCTATGATCTAATTAGTCCGGCTATTGTGCTTAAGAAAGCAGAGCTCCATGGGGCTCTGTGGGACACAATCCAGTCTAGTGGCCGAGAGAAAAGGAGGGGAAAAGTTTTGGCCTAGTTTCAGTATCCACTTGAAAGGCCGGAGGGGGCGGCGGGTGGGGACCCGAGGCCTGGCGGCGGCGGCCGAGAACACGGGAGGCTACGAAGTTGGTCCCCCCTCCTCCTCCCGGTTTGCTCCCCCCCCCCTTCCCTCTCCGATTCCTTCCCGGCAGCTCCGGGAGGGCAGCGTAGTCCACTTTCGGTGGACAACAGGAGAGGCGGGGAGCTGCGCCCGGCGCGCACCCGGGGCTCTGCATGCGCGAATGTCGCTGCTAGGGGGATGTTTGCATTTGGGGTCCCAGCAGTCGCGTCCTCTCAGGCGCCCACAGGGGACCCCGGTGCATGGATCTTAGCTGCGGGTTGGAGGCGGCGCGGGCAGGGCGAGTGTGAGGGACCTTAGCACCCAGAGGAGTTGGGGAGCTCGGAGAGGACAAAGTCCCCGCCCCAAAGGTGCTGCTTTGGTCTGCTGTCCCCGCCCCCACTTCTTAGAGCCCCGGAGCCGGCGAGTCTGGAGTCCTCGGTCCCCTTCAGGTGACAGCTCCCGAGCCTGGAGCGATGGCGCCCAACCTAAGAGACCCCCCGTGGGGCGCGCTCGGGGCCTCCGAGCTCAAAGGCTCCGCAATGTCCGCTCGGGAAGACCTGCCTCCCCACTGCCTCTCCACTCCATCCTTCCTGTCAGGCGTCCCACGCTCGCGTCCCTTCCCCCCTGCACATTTGGGACGTCCCAGCAGGAACTTCAGCGCCAACTTCTAGCGGCGTGGAGGGAAGGCTCAGCGCCTCCTTCCAGGCCAGGCAAACTTTGCGCAGTGGAGGAAGCAGATGGGGTTAGATGCGCGTCCCCTCGGGAGCCGCGCAGCCTGAGCTGCACGGGCGTGGGCACCTCGGGCTGCGTGCGGGGCGTTCTGTCTGCAGACCTGGATCTGATGGGGAACCACACTACAGCCTGATCCTGGAAATCACTGTAACAACCGAGCTAATTGTTTTAGACAAAGGAGAGCGTGTGAAGCTTGGGGAGGAGGGCAGCTCCCGCGGGAGATCGCGCCTTTCTGTGGGCTTGTGTCCCCAACGCAGGAAGAGCGCAGAGTTTCCACGCTCCTCTCCTCAAGGTGGACCAAAGAGCTTCATCTTTTTGTTTCTGGAACCTTCACCCTCAGTGCACACGCCCGTGCGCGCGCGCACGCACCCCAGTTTGGCTTTTGTGTGCTGAAAGCCTGGCTGGCTCCGCACAATCTCCACGTTTCCCTGTGTTGGATTTTTCGAGGCTCTTAATTCCTTCTCTGCTGGGGAGCCCCAGGCAGCCCTCTCCGTGCTCTCCCTCAGTGATTACGCAGCGGTTACAATTACACCTCTTGTCTGGCTTGGGGAGCAGTTGCAGTCGGAGGCCACTGGATCTTGTGTGATTTCAGCGGCAGACCATAATTAAAATTTCTTGCACCTTGTGCTTTCAGAATTCAATTGGCCTATTATCCCTGTCTGACCTTCATCCTCTTTGAGGTTTTTGCACAAGCAGTGAACCATTACACATAGTTTCCTGGTGTGTGTTGGTGTGAGCTTCTTTTTCTTTTGCTGAGGCTGATCTCCTGGTTAGAGAGCTCTAACCCCATTGTAGGTTCCTAGGGGGCTTCTGGAAGGAGCAGGATTTCTGGATCTTATTACTGCCAAGGAGGAGTCCCAGGCACCCTGTGATGGCTGCTGGATCCTGGAGGTGCTCTAGCCTGCAAAGAGCAGATTAGTGAAAGCAGGGTTTGTGTGGGGGGCGTTAGAGCCCAGAGTTGTTTCTCCATAGAACTTGGTTAGCGAGCATTCCAGACAACCTCAAAGTCAATGGCTGGTCCTCTTCATGAGGCAACTGCTTCAGATCCAGCTTTCCTTGAAGAAGAAAAATATCTGTGTGTACTTTTCCTTGGGGAAAAATTGTTCTATGGGATAAGTTTACCCTTCCCCCCCCCTTGCTAGTTCCAAAACTGGACACACTAGAACAGGCCCATGTTGGGTCCATCTTAGCCTTTCCACTTCCTACCAGAGAGTAATTTTTTGGCTCCTAAGCAAATCTAGGAATTTAGGCATGATACAAGACCCACATACGGGAAAGGAATCTTAACCAAAGATGAGTAAGTGATGTTTTCCCACCCAACTTGCGCCCTACCCTGGCATGTACATGGGACTAAGCAAAACGTAGAACCTCAGCAACTTGGAAGCATCAGTGGGAAGAAATTATGACCCAGAAAGTCAAGATGAAGTTTAGGAACCAACACATCTCCCCCAAACCAGAACAGAACTCACTGCCCAACCCTGCTGCTACTTGAGGGGCCAGGGATCCTGGGTGGGTGAGGCATGTCCCTGCTACCTCTGCAGGAACCCAAGGAAGAAAAGGAAAGGTGCATGTCTAGGGGCCACCGTGCGGAGGGGCCATAGTCTGAAGGATCACTGTTGCCTCTGGTAGAAGGAGACGTGGTGGCTTAAGAAGGGAGGACCCCAGGGAGATGGCTCAGTGGAATAAGTGCCTCCCTGGCAAGCGCAAGGGCCTGAGTTCGATCACTGGTTCCGCAAAAAAGAGCAATGATAACCATAATGGAGGAAGGGTCTACGATAATTCCCTAGTTCTGAAAAAAAAAAAAAAAAAAAAAGAAGGGAGGATCCTTACTGCAAAGCTGCTGACCTGGATGGCTGAGTACTCACACAGCTCCCCAACATGAAAACACACAGCCACCACCCCAGAAGACTGTGACAGGCCAGGACCCCCAAAGGCACTCAACACTTGGAATCGTGTTCTTGCTGGTGGTAACTGAGTTTAAAGTCCCTTTAGGTTCTAGGCTGTATAATCCCTTCATACTCAATTTTATGTGATATTTGCTTGTATTTTCTGGAATTGGCGTGAAAATGTTAGCCATAAAAGCAAGTGGGAAAGTTGGGGTTTTGGTTTAGCCAGCTTAAGTCCTTCCTAACTCCAATAGCCTTCTTAGCAAGTTTGATTGTTTATTTGTTGGTTGTTTACTTTGTGTGTTTGTCTTTCCTATGCAGTGTCTATATGCTGTTAAACCTTTAATGGGATTTTGCAAAACAAAAAAAAAAAGGCTCTCAAAGTTAATACACAAAAACTTGAAGTATTTACAAATCCAGTGATTTATACTATGCTTTTTAAAAAAAGCCATCATAGAATTAGAAGTCCGATTGTTTCCTTGGAGCCACAGAAAGCTTCTTAAGTGGCTAGCTTCTTTAGGGTGTAGCATTCCTTTTAAAATTTAAGCACCCCTGAAGGAAAAGAGTATATTTTCAAAAGAGATAGCTTAATCTTTATCCTTCTTAAAAATAAGCATGCACAAAAATGTAAAAATAATTTTCCTTTGATTTCACGTTTGGTGGATTTAAATCAGAAGCGGCGGCAGCCTGCACCAAGACTGGAGCAGACTGCGCATCTTGAACTTCAATCCCTGGCCCATTATGTGCAATTTTCTCAGCTTCAAATTAGCCACATCTGGGGGATATGATGGCTGAAAAAGCAGGTCATGGTCCCCACCTGCTCTAAAACTATTAAGGGCATGAAGAGCAGGATGAAATGAACAGAAAGTTGTTACATGGAGTGAACCCTTGAATGAGTATCCCCCAAACAAATATCAGCAACGCATCCATTAGGGTTTCTTCAGGGATGCTCACTGCTGCTTTCAAAAGCTCACATGAGTGACCTCTGTTTCTAAAGTTGAGAATGTAATGTACACAAGACAAACATACACATACAAATGTGTATAACGCTTTTTCACGTGGTGCATAGATTTACCTGCCTTCAAAGGTACAGAACATCCTGTGTCTGTGGCTGTTGTCATGTAGAGACTGTTGGCGGCTCTGCTTGTGGTCCGTTCTAATGGGCTCGTGATTCTCCTGCTATTGTTTATTTGAAAGTTGCAGAATTTTAAGAAATTAAATAAAATTACAGTTCATGCAGAGTATGTATTTGTTCCCCACTATGTTCAAATGAAGCTTGTTGCATACATTTTAACATACCAGTGACACAAGGTTTGTGGTCCTGCAGTATTTGACTACGTGGTGAGAATCTAGGAATGCATTAGTTAATTGGGTTTTGGTTGATATTAATAATCAGTGATTTTCAATATTTGATTCTTTTTCATTTTGTGAGATTTTGTTATTGAATCATACCATTTTTTCCTCTTTGGTCCCTAATGTGGTTTGTAGGAGTACTGTGTGACCTCAAGAATTCAGCTTTTGGTGACTGCTGATTTTGTTTTACAAATTAAATGAGGTTATCTGACTTTTAAAAAGCTGAGCTATCTACTTGGTTACTGCGAGGCTCTCGGGCTTGAGGCTGCAGCCCAACCTCGGATGCCTGCTCACCTGATTGTCCTCTCAGGGCTGCCTGTCCAGCCCTCTACTGGAAGTTTCCCTTTTCCCTAGCAAAAATAAGAAACATTTCTTTGGAGAACAATATTATCTGTAGCTTTGGGAGAATTTCAGTTCCCCTGCCTGCTTGCCAGGTAGGGCCTGTGCCACGGAGCTGTGTCCTCAGCCCCAGATACGTTTTGTTTTGTTTTTAGGTAAGGTCTCCCATGTAATTCAGACCAGCCTTAAATTTAACCTATAACCTAGGCTGGCCTCGAGCTCACAGAGATCCTCCTGCCTCAGCCTCCTAAACGCTAGGGTTAGAAGCCTGCACTACCACACTCAGCATCATTGACTCTTTATAATAACTTGGACTTAAAGTTAAAAAGACAAAATCTGAATGATTCTTAACCTTGTTTTCATCATTAAAGGTGTTTCTATGGAGACTTAGAATTTGTTGAG